TAGAGCGCTAACCTTGAGCTGAAGAGCTGAGGGACAGTGCCCAGGCCTAGAGTTCAGGCCCCACTACCAGACCCCCATCCCCCCCCCCCAAAAAAAAAGCTCAAGGACAGTGCCCAGGCAGAGTTCAAGGCCCAAGACTGACAAAAAACAAAAACATGTTAATGAAGTCAGTTTCCCAGATGTTGTAGCCAACCCGGACCAGCACCACCCCAGGGCAACAGATGAATTTCTCTTTAAACCACACTAAGTACTTGAGGTCACACCCAAGGAAAGGTAGAACCTTTAACAGTCCCAAGTCTAAACTCAGTTTCCTACTAGGCCAAAGAACATAAAGGAATTCCTGCAGTGAATACCATTATCTATCAATTTAGCCAAGAGGTCAAATTCAGACTTAGCCCTTGAGGGAGGGCTTGTTGAAGTACTGACCCTTGGACCCAAGAGATCTAGGGTGGGATTGCTTACTTTAGGTTTCCAAGTAGTTCCTCCCCAAACTGGGTGAGCCTTTGCAAAATACTTCACCATCACCATCATTAATTTATTTATTATCATTTTTACCTTTTTTTTTGTCTGTTGCAGGGCTTGAACTCAGGGGCCTGGGCACTGTCCCTGAGCCTCTTTATACTCAAGGCCAGAGCCCTACCACTTAAGTCACACTGCCACGTTCAGTTTTTGAGTGGCTAATTGGAGATGAGTCTCTTGGGGTGTTTTCTGCCCTGGTTGGCTTCAAATATCAATCCTTGGATCTCAGCCTCCAGTGTAGCTAGGATTACAGACGCCTGGCTTATTTACTATCCTTTAAGCACTTGTACTGTGGCTAGGAGTTTCAATTCAACTAATCTAGTCATAAGTATAATGCATCTTAAGCAATGTCACCCCTTCTGTCTGTATGTTGTTTTTTTTTTTTGGTCCAGTTGTGGGGCCTGAACTCTGGGCCTGGCCGCTGTCCCTCAGCTCTTCAGCTCAAAGCTAGCACTCTACCACTTGAGCCACAGCGCCACTTCTGGCTTTTTTCTTTTTTCTTATGTGGTGCTGAGGAATCGAACCCAGGGCCTCAGGCATGCAAGGCAAGCGCTCTACCACTGAGCCACCTTCCCAGCCTCAGTCTGTATATATTTTGTATTCTTAACTTAAATTGACCTCAGGCCCATTGGAGCACAAAAGTTAATTTCTCAGGGAGAGAGAAAGTCCTCTGTGAGCACACTGTGGCCAGTGTGTTGTAACTTGGTTTGGGAGTGACCTTTCCCCTTAGCTCCAGGTTCTTTGGATGACCTAGGAAAATTCTTCATCAGGGTTAAGGGGCCTCCAGCATAGGGCTCCAGCAACCCCCAGTGTCTGCTGTCTCTTCTGCCCTATTATTCTATCACCTGCTTGCTCAAACTTAGCCTCTTTCTGCTCCTCCTCCTCCTCTCAATATTGCTAAGGGCTAAATTCTTGAGTTGAGAACAGTAGCCGACAGATAAGACCTAAGTACCCCACAATTTAAATCTAGCGTGTCCCACACCCACACGTACAAAAGCGTTCTAAAATGCTGGCCTAAAATCAGCGACACAAATTTTCTAAGTAAACCTTATTTATTTATTTACTTACTGAAGTACTTAGTTATGATGGGACTGGAACTGACACAAATTTTCTAAGTAAACCTTATTTATTTATTTACTTACTGAAGTACTTAGTTATGATGGGACTGGAACTCAGAGCTTGGGTACAATCTCTTAGTTTAGTTTTCTATCACTTGAGTTTTTGATGCCTATCAGGAAGGGTTCGAATCTCAAGGATTTTTCCTGTCTTCAAACCCTGAGATCTCAGCCTCTAGAGTTGAAAGGTTTACAGATTTGAGCCACAGGCGCCCGAGTAAACCCATTCATCTAGCCCCAAAAGCTCTCCCAAGAGCCTTTCCAGAACATTCCATTTATCCAATAGGAACTGGTTAGCCACCGTTTGTTTCTAGTCCTTTGCTCCCAACTTTCACTTTAAAAGGGATAAAGGTAAGTCTTTAATCTTGGTTTTTAAAGGGATCTGGACTTATTCTAATTACTTAATCATTGAACGGTCACCCAATAGACTTGCAGATCTGACGAGATTGGGCGGGCGCGGCGCGGAGGAGGGGAAGCCCCTCTGGGTAACAGGAAGCCGGAGACATTTGCCTATAAAAGGAGAAGACAGGAAAGGCTCAGGTTAAAGGAAGTAAAGTGCAGGTACCGTGAGTGTCTGGCTGGTCTGCCCCGAAAATGTCAAATTCAAATCACTGTACCGTCAAGGACAAGGTAGGATTTTTGTTGTTGTTGTTTGTTTCTAATCAAGTTACTTTTTCCCCGCCTCATCAAACTGCTTTTCAAGATCTTTCCTTATCCTAAACCTTACTTCATTCCCTTACAAGTAGTTTCTGGGACGGCTCTTTCGCAAATGGATGGTTAACTTGCACATGGTCGATTCTATATTTGGGTGACTGGAAAAAGAAGTTGTGGATTCCTACTCCCACGGAAAGTATTTACATATAGGAAAGAGAAGAACGGCTAAGAAATGGAGAACTAAGACTTAACAAGAAAAAAAAGTAGAAATGGATAAGTGAGACCATAAAGTTATCAATTGGATTTTTTCTTTTTCCTCCAGTAGTTAGAAGCAGAGCCCAGGGTCGCTGGTTAAATTATGGTGGTCAGAAGCAGACAGTCATAGTTGAATTGCTCAGCATTCAGGTATACAGCTCTGAGAAGGCTGCCTTTTAAGCCCTACTTACCTTCTGGAGTTTCACAAGGTCAACATCTTGTTTGCTTGTTTTTAAGCTAACCAGGGTGAATTGACTTCGCCCAGACTTTGAGAAAGTGATATACAAATGCAAAAAAAAAAAAGTCACTAATTGCATGCAGATAGCTTGGGGCTGCAGGCAGCCATTGGAGAGACTAAAGGGAGGAAAGGGAGGAGCAGGCAGGGCACGCGACCCGAGAGGGTGTCACTGTCGGTGGGAGTGGAGTTCTCCTTGGGTTTGAGAGGAAAAGCAAGGGTCAGGACAACCCTCAAAGATGCCTTCCTCGAAGGCTTTGTTTACTGAATTTCTGAGATTTGGTTTGTCACTTCTAGGGTGAATTACTGGAACTATACCCTGAGGGTTAAGAAGGGGAGATTCAGAGAACACCTATCAATAGTTGCTTCCTGCCGCCAGTTTTTCCATATTACCTTTCCTTCATTGACTTACTGAAACCAGAGCAAAAATAATAACCTGGTTTTCTGTTTGGTGCTAAGTGTCCTGTGTCTACCACAGCTAGAACATGGGAAAAGAGATAAAACTCCTCCCTTCCTTGGATGCGCCACACAAGTTTCAGGATAATTTTTGTGTGTTTAGCAATGGCAAACCATTAACTTTTCCATAAGCAAAGCAATCTGCAGCATGAATGGGCCAATAGGTAACTGGCATTGTTGTTTGTATGCATGAAATTGACAAGAGTTTGAATCCAGATTCTTCTGACCAATGATGATTGATAACATAAAAATTCAGTTTTTCTTTTCTTTTCTTTCTTTCTTTTTTTTTTTTTTTGTTGGTCGTGGGGCCTGAACTTTGGGCCTGGGCTCTGTCCCTCAGCTCTTCAGCTCAAGGCTAACGCTCTACCACTTGAGCCATAGCACCACTTCCGGCTTTTTTTCTGCTTATGTGGTGCTGAGGAATCAAACCCAGGGCCTCATGCATGCCAAGGCCAGCGCTCTACCACTGAGCCCCCTTCCCAGCCCTAGTTTTTCTTTTTATGTGTGGGTGTGCATACACTCTAGTCCTGGAGTTTGAACTCAGCCCTGGGTGCTGTCACTAGAACTTTCTTGTTGCTTTTGTGCCGGTTGTGGGTTGTGTCTCTGAGCTTTTGTTGTTAAAGGCTAGAATTGTGTCACTTGAACCACACAGTTCTGGTGGCTAATTGGAACTGGCTTTAAATCATGATCTTCCTGAGTAACTAGGATTACAAGCACTAGCCACGGCCACCCAGCTGAAAGTCTGAGACTTTTTTTCTCCCATCAGCCAGCAAACTTTAAGAACTGCTGTGGCTCAAGTGGTGGTACCTTGATCTTGAGTTAAAAAGCCAACCAAATATATAAGGCTCTGAGTTCAAGCCCCAGTGTCAGCATTGAAAAAACAAACAAACAAACAAAAAAAAGCAAACCAGCTTAGCCGAGTCGCATCAATTGGAAGTCAGTGACTCTTCTTTTTTCCAGAATTTGTTTCCGGATGACTTAGATGAAGAAAGTGTGGTTTTAACACTTGTCCCAGTTACAGAGGAGCCTTTTGAAGAAGTTATACAATCCAATGTTCCAACAGCAGACAATCTCAACCTAGAGACACCGAAGAATAACAAAGGTATGTGGGCAGGGAAAAAATGCTCCATTCCCAAACCATGAATGAAGTTCAATCAAAATTAGGTGAAGGGGGTTGGAGATATGGGTTACATGGTAGGTAGAATGCCTGTATGGAAAGCCCTGAGTTCAAACCCCAGTTCAACCACCAAAATAAGCAAACAAGCAAAAACAAAGCTGGACACTAGTGACATGCCTATAATCATAGCTATTCAGGAAGCTGAAATCTGGGGAATGCAGTCAAAGCCACCTTTGCAGAAAAGTCTGAGACTACCACCAGAAAGGCTGGAAATGGCATAACTCAAGTGGTAGAACACTAACTAGCCTTGATCCAAAAAGCCAAGGCAGAGAGATGTGTCCTTGAGTTCAAACCCCAGTACCATCAATTTTAAATTTTAAAAAGAGCCAAGGTATACCTCCATGGAAGAAGGCTTGTTTAGCATATGTATGGACCTGGTTTTCTCCCTCTGACTTAAAACAAAGTTAACATACAGATACAGTACTTACTTCTTGGCAATAATCATCATAGCAAATACCTAGTATTTCCCTTGGTGAAGTAATTACTTACAATGGTAAATATCTAGGCCCTCTGAATTTGTTCTCAGTGCTTCACAGATATTTCTGGGCCCACAATGCATTTCAAGAAGTAAGTACAAGTAACTAGAAGTATTTGTAAGAATGAAGTGAAATGATGTCAGGACAGCAAGTCAGGCTAATAAAAATGGGTTTCATGTGGCTGGTCTGGGCTAGAATATAGGAGTGGTTTAATTTGATTTCTGTATGGGCAAATGATATTTGCTATTCAAAAGCTGCCATCTTGGAGCAAAACTCCAGCCTGTTATTCTAACCAGATGGTTGTCCAAAACTATAAAAAGCCAAGCTAACTTTATAGTCCCAGATCGGCTATTTTAAATAGTTCTGAGGTTCGCCCCCCTCCCTCGTTGGTTGTGGGACCTGAACTCTGGGTCTGGATGCTGTCCCTCATCTCTTCAGCTCAAGGCTAGCACTCTCCCACTTGAGCCACAGTGCCAACTTCTGCCATTTTTCTGCTTATGTGGTGCTGAGGAATAGAACCCAGAGCCTCATGCATGCGAGGCAAGCACTCTACCACCTTCCCAGACTAGTTTTGAGTATTTTTGTATATGTTTTCATTCCTGAATTTAGTATCTCACTTTAAATATAGAAAAAATTATACATACACACATATGCAATCTAGCTCATGAAAATATGAGGCAATCTTTAATGAATCATAACACAGGCTAAGTCCTTACTCTTTTAGATCTTTCAGATCTTCCACAAACAAATGACATGAACAATTCCTCGAGAACTCGTTGGAAAAAGCCCGTGGGTCCATTGCCTGCTGTCTTGCCTCCTATTACTGAGGTGTCTCGTAATGCCTTGCGTAACTGGTGCCAACAATTTAACCTGAGTACAGACGGCCAGGTCAGTGCATGGACGGGAATCTCGGTGCGGGTGTAAGGGAACCTTTGTCTGCATTTTACTTACAGTGTTCCATTTTAATTTCCTTAGAAAATAGAAGTGTATTTGAGGCTCCTGAAGCATAGATATCCCGAACAACAAAATGTGAGTGAGTCTGGTGGCAGTGTGGAGCTGTGGTCCTGGTGGGTTATCCTACTTTGCTAATAGTGTTCTTGGTCTCTAAAGCAGGGTTTCTCAACTGTAAGATGATTGACATTTAGCGGCCAAATATAGTTTTGCTATTTGAGATGGGTTTGTTGTATTGGCGGGTATTTAGAAGCAGTCACCTGACCCCTACCTCCAGGTTTTTCTGGTTATTTTCTGTTTTTGAGCCAGGGCTTTGCTAGCTTTGCTTTCTCAAACTCAAGGTCCTCCTGTTTCAGCCTTCCTAGTATTAAGATCCTGCCCAATGTAGGTATTTTTGTGGAGGGGGAGCTGTATAGGGCTGCTTGAACCCTAGGGCTCTTTTGGCTTCTGTACTCAGGCTGACTCTCTGTCACTGGACCCACATGTTAATTGTTCCCAGTTCTTTAAAATGTTTTAAAATTGTTATTATAAAGGTGAAATACACAGTGGATACAATTAGGTAAATCGAGTAAAGAGAATTATTTTTGGACAGTGTCATCCCTAACCTTAACTCTTACTGCTTCTAGCTGCTTGCGGGTTAATTGGAGGTAAGAGTCTTAGACATTTTTCTGCCTGGCTTATTTGAACCATACTTCCCTGCCCCTCCTCAGTCACATTAAAAAGAAAATTACTTTTGTTTGCCATGGGGCTTGAACTGGCCTGGGTACTGTCCCTGACCTCTTCAGCTCAAAGCTAGTTTTCTACCATGTCAGCCACAGTGCCACTTCTGGTTTTCTGTTGGTTAATTTGAGATAAGAGTCTCATAGACTTCCCTGCCCAGGCTGGCTTTGAACCATGATCCTCAGATCTCAGCCTCCTGAGTAGCTAGGATTACAAGCATGAACCACCAGTGCCCAGCTTTTACTCTTTTATTTAAGTAATTGTAGAAAGGAGTTTTAGTCCAAACCAGATTAAATGTAGCCATTGTATTCAATGTATATTATGTAATAAAAAATAAACTACCTAACTTGAGGGTACGGACAAGAGAGGAATAATGGAGGAGAACAAAGAAAGGGAAGAAGCATTATAATCATAACCTGATTTACAGGATTGTAATTCCTGTGTACAACTTCATAACAATTTTTTTTTGGTCGGTTGTTGGGGCTTGAACTCTGGGCCTGGCTGGGCACTGTCCCTGTGCTCTTCAGCTGAACTAGTGTTCTACCACTTGACCACAGCACCACTTCTGGTTACCCCGGCTGGCTTTGAACCATGATCTTAAGCTCTCAGCCTCCTGAGTAGCTGGGATTACAGGTGTGAGCTACCAGCACCTGGCTAACATTTTTTGTTTTTGGGTCCGGTCGTGGGGCCTGAACTCTGGGCTTGGGCACTGTCCTTCAGCTCAAGGCTAGCGCTCTACCACTTTAGCCACAGCACCACTTCCAGCTTTTTTCTTTTTGCTTATGTGGTGCTGAGGAATCAAACCCAGGGTCTCAGGCATGCAAGGCAAGCCCTCTAACACTGAGCCACCTTCCCAGTCCCCCGGCTAACATTTTTAAAGCACGTATATTCATCTTGATCAGTGACACCCCTGTCATCCCTGCCCTGTCTTCACCAAACACATCCGTAACCCCAAAGTTCCATTTTCCTAGAAGTACATTGAGCATAATGAGTATATTTGCTCACCCTTCCTCTTACCATTTATCTCCGTTTCCTCTCCTTGACTCTTCCCACAAAACATGTTTTAGCTTACTCCTCCTCAGTTTTAACAACTGAAAACTTCCTCCCAGTTGAGAAAGCACTGATATTTTTAAACTATCTCATTGACATACACATGCAAGTCAGTATAAAGAATGATGGCAGCGGGGACATTCCATTTGTCCTTGGCAAGAGCACTTCTGACTAAATACTCATTGTGAATTGTTTTTTTTTTTTTCCCCAGTATATTCCCAAAACATCAAAGGAGGCCAGAATGACGCCATATTCCAAGAACAACTGTAAGAGGGAAAGAAGTCGGCAGAAAAGAAGTAGTATAAGTGAAAAGGCCAATACACACAGGGACACTGTTGGAAATGAGTCTGGCCTAGAATTGAAAGGTAATATAGTAGAAGTAGTCACTTCTGCCCAAGCATCTATGTTGGCATCTTGGGCACGAATTGCTGCAGAAACTCCTGAAGCCAAGACAGTGAAGTTTTGTCCTCCTGAGTCAACCATAGAGACATTTTTGCTGCCAGCCCCTGGTAAGATCAACTTCCAGATGGAAGTGCTTTTCTAAAAACACTTTTACCAGTTGCTAAAACAAAACAAACAAAATGTTTCACTATTTGGTCATTAATCATTGGATTCACATAGAATTTGTCTCTTCCTGAATAGTTTTGGTGGGATGGGTCTCTAAACTAGGTGATTGCTTAGTAAATAGATGGATTTCAGAGGCAGGAAAAAACTGGTTGGTTAGTCTTTTCTTTCCTTAAGGTGTTCACATAAATGGAGTGGGTGATGATGGGTGAATGGGTGAATGGGCTTCTTTTGTCTGTAATGGGGCTTGAGCTTAGGGCTTTGGTGCTGTCTCTTGAGTTCTCTTGCTCAAGGATAGTGCTCTGCCCATTTAAACCACAGCCCCACTGTTTTTTGAGTAGTTAATTGGAGATAAGAGCCTCACATTGACTTTTCTGTCCAGGCTGGCTTTGAACTGTGATCCTCAGATCTCAGCTTCCTGAGTAGCTAGAATTACAAGGCATGAGCCACCATATCTACCTTTCCTACCTTTCTATTGGTTGTTCTGGGATGGAACCTAGTACTGAATTCATCTGGGAAATCTTCATCTATAAAAAATATTGTAACTACCTATTTACTAGAGTGATTATGAGACTTAGACACATAACTTGGTACATATGAATGCTCTCACACACACATAGAACCTCTTGATACATGTAGCCCAAGTCTGGTTTTGAACTTGAAATCCCAACTGCTAAGATTATAGGTGTGTATAACTTTAGGGTTTTATTTATTTGTTGGTGGGTAGTGGGTCACGAGCTCAACTTTGTGTGTTTTAAACAAACATTTCAGTCTGTTTTCTGAAGTTGACTGAATATAATATAGTGATGTAAGTAGATAGGCAACAGGATTACAGGTCAGAAAACCTGTATCCATGTCTTGATACTGGATAAGGTTATATTTAATGTCATAAACCTATTACCTCACTTGTGGGACAAGCAGGAGGATTTGGTATTGTTCAGTGGTTAAACACTTTTCTAGCATGCAAAAGCTCTGGGTTCAATCTCCACAGGGGTTTTGGGGTGGGTTCTAGAAAGCAAACATTAATAATCAATGTACTTTGTTGGGGTATGCATACCAATGGGGGCTTACTAATGAAGAGAGTAAAGATGGAGGGAAATGTAGCCCAGTTATTTGTTTGCAATGTATGATAATAGAACAACAAAACCTGTTGAATAAAGCACTGGTGGCTCATGCCTGTAATCTTAGCTACCCAGGAGGCTGAGATCTGAGGATCTCAGTTCAAAGCCAGGCG